CAAGGCTTTTGACACTGTCTCCCATAACATCCTCATTGGGAAACTGAGGCAGTATGGGCTGGATGAGGGGACAGTGAGGTGGATTGAGAACTGGCTGTGTGACAGGACCCAAAGGGTAATTATTAATGGAGCAGGTTCAAGTTGGAAGCCTGTAACCAGTGGAGTCCCCCAGGGGTCAATACTTGGACCCGTGCTGTTTAATATATTCATCAGTGACCTGGACGAGGGGACAGAGTGTATCCTCAGCAAGTTTGCTGATGATACCAAACTGGGAGGAGTGGCTGACACCCCGGAGGGCTGTGCTGCCATCCAGCGAGACTTGGACAGGCTGGAGGGCTGGGCAAGGAAGAACCTCATGAGGTTCAACAGGGAAAAGTGTAGGGTCCTGCACCTGGGGAAGAAAAATGTCAGGTACCAGTACAGGTTAGGGGTGGACCTGCTAGAGGCAACTACTGAAGAGAAAGATCTAGGGGTCCTGGTGGACAGTAAAATGGCAATGAGTAAACAGTGTGCTCTTGCGGCCAGGAAGGCCAATGGTATCTTGGGTTGCATAGGGAAGAGTGTAGCCAGCAGGTCAAGAGAAGTCATTCTCCCCCTCTACTCTGCACTGGTGAGGCCACAACTGGAGTACTGCGTCCAGTTCTGGGCTCCCCAGTTCAAGAGGGACAGGGAACTACTAGAAAGAGTCCAGTGAAGGGCAACAAAGATGATTCAAGGATTGGAGCATCTCCCTTATGAGGAGAGACTGAGAGAGCTGGGACTCTTTAGTCTGGAGAAGAGAAGGCTGAGGGGAGACCTTATCAATGCCTACAAGTATCTCAAGGGAGGGTTGAAGGAGGAGGGAGACAGACTCTTTTCAGTGGTTCCCAGTGAGAGGACGAGGGGCAACGGGCACAAGTTGGAACATAAGAGGTTCCACTCAAATATGAGGAGAAACTTCTTCACGGTGAGGGTGACAGAACCCTGGAACAGGCTGCCCAGGGAGGTTGTGGAGTCCCCTTCCTTGGAGATTTTCAAGACCCGCCTGGATGCAGTCCTGAGTAACATGCTCTAGCTCTAGGCAATCCTGCTTCAGCAGGGGAGTTGGACTAGATGATCTCTATGGTCCCTTCCAACTCTAAAATTCAGTGAAATTCAGTGAAACATACTGAGGCCAGGTTTGGTAACAATTCATTGCACAAGGATAAAATACAAGGAAATGAAAGCCACGCATAACCTCTGTCAGGCCATGAACCCGACTGCCTCAGTAAGCCTTCTGTGTGTCCTTCACACAACGTCTGACTCTTTCACTTTTTGCTGCTACACTTTTAATGGGTTGAAGACACGATCCTCCATGTGAAATGCAGGTATGAGCTAAAGAGATATTTATTTCCTTGCCACATCAGGAGGTTTTAATATACAAAATACCTTCCCCCCAGTCCTGGCTCTGGAAGCATGTATGCACATCAGCGCTGTTACAAGAACTACTTTTTAATGTGAAAACGAAGAGTGTGAATAAACATTTGGAAGTGACTGGAGATGCAGGCTGGAGATCAGATAAAAATTTCTGCTTTCAGAGGCCACACTCCAAGCCTTCTCAGCCATTCCAAAAATGCTGCAGAAAGAATTTATGAAGCGTCAGTGAAAATCTCTACAGAATGGTCTCAGAGGGAAACGTTGAGACAGCTTCTGCCAGTCAGACAGTGACATCCAGTGGGGACTTGCATTAACTGCAGCCATCCCTTCCCCTGATGCACACAAAAACACCAACACCTGGATTTTGTTAAAACACACAGAAATATTTAAAACATCTTTAAAAATATTATAAAAAAATTAAATGGAAAAATATACACAATATGTGAGTTCCCTAAAGAGAGAAACATATTTCGATATATTAATTATAAAAACTGTATGTTCATCTACAATGAAAAATTACATCTTGCCTCTAATTTTTAATCAACCTTAACAATGAAGAAAAAATGTTTAGCTGTATTTAGAGAAATAGCACATTCCCTAAATTAAAACTGTATTCTTTTCTATCTTGCTCACACAAAGAATCACTACTCCTCTTTTTTTCCTGACAGTCTCACTTCCTTTAAAAACAGAGTTCAAGATTTGCACTTAAGATTCTTGAAATCCACAAAGCAATTCTCCCCAGTCTTCATCCTTAGGACTCACAGCTGCAGCAGGTCACCATCAACAGAGCTTTTCTAGAGCAGAACCCTTCTTTTAAGGCCCAGTTGATGAAAAGTAATAAGACTGTCCTTCAAAGTTTTTTTGGAATACACACAAAGATGCAGGAGACCTCAATTTATTGTCCTTCCGTGCCTTTGGGAAATAGGTCCTTTTTATGGGAGATGGGAATATCCAAAACTCCTACCTACTAAGCCAGCAAATGCTCCTGAGGAGCAGACAATCAAATTCCCCTACTGGATTTGTCCCAATTTGTCTAGAATAATGAGATTTATCGGACCAAAAAGAGGTGAAAATACACTGCAAGCTGAGGATATGGCACTTCAGTGGATGTGGAAAAAGAGAGGATTCTGGGTTCTCATTCTTGGAAACTCATCTCAGTTATGGGAACAAGGCCAACTTCAAACCCTAGGAAGTTTGCCAACTAAATTCTGCTAATCTATCTTTTCACAGATTTATATGCAACAAAACCACTTTCTACTCTGGTAATGTTGCCAGGGTAATATTACTTTCTCCCTTTTCATGTTTTTCCACACTGGCTGACACCGTGTGCTGCTGTGGAATGACAGCTGAGGAAGGCTGAAGGTTTGAGTCACTGCCTGCAAAAGACACGGAACCAGTTACAAATCACTTCTGTCTCATCTCACTCTCCAAAGGGTCCACCTGAGCAGCTCCCAGAGTTTCTGGACTTGGGGGCCAAACTGAAACCAACGGGCTCTTTCCCAAGCAACCTCAATTCAGGTCTCACCATTAAAAGCCAAAGTATTCCACCAGCCTTAAACGTTTGGCTCGCGTTCACTCACACATACAAAAATCTAAGCAGCCAAAACAGTCTCGAAATTTATGATGTAATTATTTTGGTTTGTCAGCAAGTAGGCCCTTACCTTATGTTAGTGCACCATCACTTCATAAATCCACACACATAACGAAGAAAAGCCACACTTTCCTTAATTCTGAGAGTTTCTCTTATGGTTAATGCCACCTACTGTTTTTGTTGTTTTTTTTTTCTTTTTAAACTTAGCTCTTAAACATAGTGTTTCTTTGACAGGGTTAGCTAGAGGACAACTCTGATAAAAGTGTGAGTCTTTCTGAAATGTAGAAAATGGGAATATTTTTCTGACATATACATAGAAACCACATTCTTGTGTTTGTGAAAATTTACCTTTTATAACTTTTATAACTTTGCCCAGTTTATAACTGGGCAATACAGAAAAAGCAATTTCTGTTATCTTGTCTATCTTATCCTAGAAAGGACAGTTCTAACTGCTGTATCACACTGATTTCACACACTTACAGAAGAGGGAATTTTTATTTTTTCCAACCTCACACATCAGAGGGAAGACAAAATACTGATCAATTTGGGGAAAGTCTGCCTTGGAGGTACTAAACGAGGCACATTGTTTCCATTGCAAGTGGCCTGCTGCTTAGCTGCTCTGAACCACCTCATTTACTGGGACTGGAATTCATACCCACCGTGAAGGCAAAGGCTACTGACAACAGGTGGTATCTCAGCACAACAAGGTACCACAGTTTTAAGTGTGTGATATTAAAACAATTGTGCATCGATGTTGTTGCAGAACAGTTCACAAGAGGAAAGTCAGGAGCGCAAGATTTGTGTGGTCACGCTTTGGGCCGTGTATGAAAAACTGCTTACCTCTCCCCATCAAATCGTTAGGAGCAAAGCTGAACTTTTCTAAACCACCCTGGGAGGACTATGTCTATCTATATAAAATCACAGAGATCGGTTCCATGGTCCTGAAGACAGGTGCCACAGTCTATCTTGTAGGCATTTGGTTAGTCACTCCTTCAAAACAGGGACCCTTCCCAAAAGGCACATGCTTCCTACCAGGCCACGAGCTGTTTTCATGAAGTGACAGCTGACACTACCCAACATTATATCAAGAGTAGAAGCAGGTATGAGACAACACAGCAAGCCCGCGTATTTAGTTTGCTAATATAAACAAGACTAGCTGTCTGTAATTCTTGACGAGTGAGGAGAGCCATGCCATATGTTAATCCACGGGAAAGGCAAAGAAATGGATCCCAGACAAAGACTCCAGTGCCCTTCCACAACTCTGCAAAGCCCTCCAGAAAGTCTTGCTCCTCCCTAGCTAGGAGACTTGCAAGCTGTGTGTGCATAGTCATCTGCTTATCTCCCCAGGGCCATATTCCCATTGTTATGAGGACTATTCAAGTATTTAAAATTAATTTCACATATACATGCAAGCTTAAAAACTTACTAGTGTTCTGTAGTTTTGTATTCAACTGTTCTTCGCGTTAATCTAAATTCAGTTTTATAAATCACTATTCCTATGTCTTAAATGACATCTATTTTAGACAGAAATTCAGGTCTCCACACAGAAGTTTAACTGTTTCCACATACAACTTCTACTAAATATGTATGGACAGTCTTCCATTGTGTTCACTCCCACCCCGCAAATTTCCTTAATCAAATAAAAACAGGTTGCTCTGAGCAAAACTGAAGTAGTGTTTTTCATTTTCAGTTATTTCATTCAGTTCATCAATTTTTTATTTTCCATTATTAAAAAAAAGCTTATTAAAAAAGGAACAAAATGGCATAGAACATTATAAAGTTTTCCCCCTTCCTATTTGCTCTACAAATAAGCAAAAGCTATGAAAGTTTAATCCAGTTTTAAGAAAATATATTTATCTAGCAGCATTAAAATAATGAAATGTAAATTGAAAAAAGTGCAGAGATCATTTTGCATTACACAAATTAAGTACAAGAATTTACCAAAGTGTGAATTTTTACGAGGAAAAAAATGGAAAGAAAAAAATCCAATTAAAATTAATACAAAGTAACTCCATTTAAGGTACAGTGGATAGTTTTATTTATAAAATGCTACTGGCACACAATACACATCGGAAGTATGAAACATGATTTATAAAGAAGTGAAATGCTTCACAGAAGCTTGGATTCCTGAGGTATTCTGAATACAATCCCTCATTTACTGGACTTCACAACACAGCTCCAACTGGCTTACGCAGCAGAAGAGGATTCTTGATAAACACACAGTTAAGACATAGTTTAAAAATACATACGGAAACAGACACAGACTGGAAGACTGTGTCTCACCAACAGTAATAGCCTTGGTCATGGTGGAAAACTATCTTACACTGAAGGGCACAAAGACCTGTTACGACTGGGTTTCTCAATTTCACAGCCAATTCAGATGTATTACAGATAACCTGCTTTCACCTCATTGCCCATGATCACAGGTTGCAAAGTCCTCTTGACATCAGGCACAAAACCATTGCTGTTTCTGAATAAACATATGAAGGACTGATTACCTGGACAAGTATTATAATTTAAAAAAAAAAAAAGCATTAGGAGTTTCACTTCTTTTTCTGTTTTTCTGCTTTGATTCTCTGCTGTAGTGTCTTCAGTTCAGTCATTACATTCAAAGTTCTGTAAACCCAGGTGACCTGAAAAGTAAATTATGAAATATAAGTAATCCACATACATTTACTTATCAATTTAATGAAAGCATCCATGTAACTGAACACATACATACCACAATTATAATAGTATTCACCAGCAGTGGTGCTGAAAATACTAGTGAAATAAACATTCCTCTTGAATCAAAGTATTGGTATTTAGAAAACAGCCTGAAAGAAAGCAAATAAAAATAAGAAAGCAAGCTTTATTCACTGTAGTTCACATAACGTTAGACTGTCACAGTAACATGGACACTCTACAGATTATCCTACTTTATGGGATGCCCAAGCACAGGCCAACATTCTACTGTACTGTAATGTCAAAACAAGGAGACAGTCAATATCTCATCAGTTGTGAATATTCATTACAATACCAGCCTTTCTCTTCTTTAAGGTTTTACCACTCAAAACCCAAATTAAAAAAAACACAGATAAAGTAAATAACTTGATGTGACTACAATAGTACATATATTTGTGAATCAGAAACCATGCTTATCCTCAAGTGTCCAAAATGACTCTCTCAGGTATTCTGGTTACTTATATTAGAAAAGATAATGAAAATAATAAAATGTAGCAAAGTTGTAATTTAGGGCTTGTATGCCTGAAGTGGAACATAAAGACTTATAATTAGATGCATGCATAAAGTAGTGTTAAACAAAATTTCCAATTACATCAGGGAAAGTGTAGTTCAGTGCTTGTGAAAAAAAGCCATCAGTTTAATTCTGGTACACAGGCTTAGTAAAACAGGCAAATTTTAATGTTTTTTATGCATATAAATAAGTAAATAAAATAGTAGTGATATTTTTGAGTAGTACTTAACTTCAGCTGATTGAACATGAATAGCTATCAAAGAAAACCCAGCACAAAAAAACCCAACCCACCAAAGCTCACATGCTCTTCCCTTTAAATCATCCCACTCTGCTCTTCATTTAGTTCTCTGACTAGTTCATCTACAACTATCCATATAAACACAGATTTTAAGCAGTACAACAACACATGCTAGCTATTAAAAATTAGCTTTTCTTGTAAGCTAAGTGATAACTATGTTGTACTGTATGGTTTTGTTCAAAAGTTTTATATTAACCAATGCAACAGACCATCTGCCATCACATTCTACTGATGAGGCATGAGTGACTCTAACGTTTTCTGAGAATGATATGAAAAAAAGAACATTGTTACAAGAACATTTAAATGAAAAAAAAAAAAGAAACTGAAAACATTTACCTCCAATTCATAGCTGCTAATTCATTTATATATTCAGCGCAGTACACTAAGCCCACTGTACAACAAAACAAAAATATTAGATTCAGCACTTCTTTAAAAATAAACTGCCATCAGTTCTGCCATGTATATTTAAAGCTGTATACATACCAGATAGTAGAATTCTTTGATTCTTAGAAGACCAAACTATAGGTTTAATTTTTTAATGGCACAAAACCAATTCTGAATTAAATGTCCCATGTAGTTACTAAGAAGTACTAAGTGATCACAAAATATACCCACTATATTACAAACTCCTGCTCATCTGAGCTTATAGAAAGAGTTCAGCATACAAATGAATAGAAGCATAAAATAAGTAATTTTTTTTTTCCAACAATCTTCTTGGTGACTGCTTCTAAGTTATTTCTGTGAAAAGAAATGCCAGCACTCCCCAAAACTGGTATGCAATTAAGTTATCATTTTAGAAGTTGTGGTGTCACATTGCTATATGTAATATTACTACCTGAAGCTAGGGTACTAAACATACATAGGCATTTTTGTAAAATCCAAACTTTGAATAGGTGTATAGCAGAGTACTTTGCTGCAGGCAGGCAAAAACTAGCATACTCTTAATCAACAATTACATGCAATGCTAAGCCATCAAGAATGTAAGATAATCCAGTGCAATCATGCTTAACAAAAAAGCAACACGATTACAAAATTTTAAGTTTGTCCTTGTTTCATTTTTCATTACAAACAAAGCAAAAAAACCAGATTCAGTGGCTAAAGGTGACCTGCAGAAGCCAATTAAATAACTAGTTTGGTAATACAAATGAGTGCCATGACAATCAATATGCTACACTGCTTTGCCACCATTGCATTATCTCTGCTTGGCACCGCACAGTATAAACATACCTAGAGCTGCTCACCTGACAAAGTAAACCAATGTGATAATTTCATTATTTCCTCAGTTATTTCTGACTATGTACAATACAAAGTTATTTACACTGCAGACATATCAAAACTGGGTAAGTTTTTCAAGTACAAACAGGTCTTGGACTCAATATGGATATTTCTATGTACTCTTCTGGTTAATGGCAAGTTTACATCACATCTGGGTTTAAAAAGTCAGCAATGATCAATTCCACTGCATTTTCTAATGCAGTTAGACTTCGGCCATTCAAACTAGCATTAGAAACACAGAAATACTTTATATAGAGTGTCTAAAGTAAACAGCATGTCATTGGAAATTCTGAATACCTAATATTAAAGAAAGAAAAGCCTATATTCTTATAGGGAACCTTCAGGCCTAATGTGCCATAAACAGGCCGTTGTTATTTTGCCCTCTGTAGATCATTTTAAACTCTGCAGCTACAAGTGAATGTATAGAAACTACTAAGGTTTCTAGATTCCTTCTTGGGCATACTCAACGTACTGCAAACTTGGCTTTGGCTGACTCAAGTATTTGCAGTTTTGAGGAAGCTACGATTCCTCTCCCAACGTGACTAGTTCATTAATGATATTTTAAAAAGTCAACATAGTCTTCAGGTGCCTTTTTCCTGCAAATCTCTTTCAATTCCTCATTCTTCCTGCAATCATGACAGAACTGAGGTACTGTGTAATAAAATCCAAATCACCAGAAAATCCATCCATGGCTAGAAGAAAGGCACTGCTCATAATACGTGGACCTAATCCATGCCATCTAAATTAAACCCAAATCTGTCAGTCATAAAGACACAGCTTTGGGTAAGCAATGCCACAATTCCCAGGCTCAAACCTGATGATAAACCCTGAGATAACACAAGTTGATACCGCAATGTACTGAACCAGTCCTGCTGTTCCTCACGTCTCTATCACAGCTCTCAGCGGGACATATGGTGAACATGCTCCAGGAATGAATCCAGCTGAAAGCTGACCACAGTCACTGAACTGCAGCATTAGAACAAGGCAGAATAGAAAGCACCTGCTGGCTCTCTGCTCATTTCTTTTCTGCTTATCCAGCACAGCAACAATTTATTATGCGACGCATTTACGCTGCAGAAAGCTTATTTATCTGAGATCCTCAATGAGGCTAGAGCTTTAAGTGCCTACTTCACACAGGCTTAGAAACTAAATAAATACATATATATAGGTGGTAGTAGCTTCCATAAGTTTACTGTGGATAGACACATGTATTATTGCAAGAAAAATACTAATTTGCATGCACTTTATCTGCTGCAAGGTATAAAACTGTGGACTGTGCAAGTATACAAAGAAAATGGTTATTGTTAAGAGACAGAAAAAAGCTATTTTGGCAGTACGAGCGGCTTAAACAAAGCACATATGCCCTTTTATCACCCGAAGGCCCGTTGAGGGAAGCATGAAACCCGTACTCACCCATGCAGAGGAAGTGCCCTATTTGCACCCGGTAGTGCTGGAAAGAGAAGCAGGTCAGGAGGAAGCAGAGAAGGTGGAAAACCCCCAGCCCCAGCAGCCACGGCTCGGACCAGTCCGTCTTCTACACACAAAACGAAAGGAGATTAAAGCTGTGGAGAGAGTCAACCCAGACGCCCTCCTCCTCCTCCAAGGGATTTCTCTCAGGGACCGCCGCTCAACGGCCCGCCCCGTGCCGAGCTGCGGAAAGAGCGGGCACCCTCAGCGCGGGCTTCCCACACACACACAGTGGTCAATGGCCAGCCCGGCCCTCATCTCCCCCACCTTACCGCCAGGATGGCAGACAGCCCCGGCGGGCCGCTTAGCGGCTGCTCCATGGCGGCCGCCGAAGTCTCGCGAGAAGACGCCCAACGACCGCGACCGCCGAAGTCTCGCGAGAAGACGCCCAACGGCCGCGGCCGTTGGGCGTCTTCTCGCGAGACTTCGGCCCCAGCCGCTTCCCCCCCCTCGCGCCTGAGGGGACTTGAGGCGCAACATTCCCTCTGCTTTAGGGATGGGAGTGCAGGAAAAAGGGAGTTTTAAGCCCTTTTCAGAAATTTCTGACAAAAAACCCCAGTTGACCACTCCACAAGAACTTAAGTCAAATGAGAAACACTATTATTTTGCCAAATGGAAAAAAAAATAAATCAATAATGAGTTACTGTACAGTGGAAAGTGACTAAGACATTTAAAAAGTTAAACCTCTCATTTATAGCTCCTTTTGCTAAATGCGTGTATGTCTGGAAGAACTGACCGCTCTTCAAGTGCTGTCAGCCTTCAACAGAGATTTCAAGCTCAGATTCATCAACTAAAACTAAATCAGGAGACGTAATGAGTCTTAAAAGGATTGGCTTTGTCAAGCAAGCCATAAGGTCATACCACAGCTCCACATTCTGCTTTCATGAAATTGAAATTATTTTTTCTGAGCCTTTGGCTTTTCCCAAAATGTTTGGGAGTGCATGTGTAAATAAATGTCACAGGTACTTTTTTTCATTTAGTCTACCATGTAGTTAAATACAGGTCATCACTGAGAACTGCTCTCTTTTTACTGTCACACTCCTGCAATTTAATGTGAGATACCTGAAACTGAGACATTTTTCTGTTTTGCTTTAGGTTTTTGGTAATCTTTTTCTCAACAGCAATAATATGTGGAAGCCAACTGACAGCTTTACTTAAATCATTGTAAAATTAAGTAGGGTGATGCAAAAGTGGACATTTCTATTACCATTCTGCTGCTAGTTTTAAGACTGGGGGAAAAAAGATGTTTTAATTCCACAGTGTAGATTGGGAAATAAGACTGGAAGAAAGTGACTTGGCATTAGTCTTACAGCTAATATAACCAATCAATAGGTTTGGATTTTTGTAAATGAGGAATCAGTTTCTTGTAATTGCTCTGTAATTGACTACAGTAACCATCTGCAATAGATGAAGGGCTTCAGTGTATGAAGGATATAGTAGCTGTTTTATGAGCAGAATATGCTAGTCAGTGGTGAATCTGTGATGCAGACAAGCTGGGTGGGTAGAAAATTAGTATCTTATTATGGCTACAACATACTGTATGTAAAGAAATCACGTAGCTTTTACTGTAAGGCACTGTAGCAGCCATGGAGACTTTCTTATAGGGAAATAGGAATTGCTTCTTTAAGATTAACTAGGATAAATTCAATAATATTGTTTGTCAGCAGGTGGTAGCAGATACATAAGTATTACCAGATATTTTGCATGGTATAGATTATCTTTAATTTATTTTTAGTGGAAAATGAAATGTGAAACAGAAGATACTAAAAGGGTAGCAAACAGATACGTTGCTCTTTTATAGGGAAAAAAAACTTTGTATTTGTCCTTTTACAGCATCTTTGCAGAGCCAGTATGCTACATTTACATCTGAATTTTAAAAATACTCTAGTAACCAGAAATGTACGGTACCAATGATAATATATAAATATTTCTGTTCTTGTTAGTATAAGTAACTTAAATAGTTCTTAAAACTCAGTGTCAGTTTTCTGTGTAATTCTCAGACACTCAGATTCCTATGTAATTTTTTTTCTACACTACAGTATTATCCAGGTAGACTGGCTAAAAGAAAAAAAAGTAGATTGGTAAAAGGAACTTTTTTCCCTTTTAGCAACTAAAAACGTAATTTGCTTTACATAGGAAAGGATCTAAACCCACATATTTATTTTAACATTAGGTTGCTGAAAAAACAAGCTGGCTGGTAAAAAAGCATATTTATGATAGGGCATGCCAAACTTAAATGCTAAATTATGTTTCTAGTGGTAGCCCTAGATGTGTGCCAGCAGATCTTACAGCACTGTACTAGACATTTCTTGAAAGTGCTGTTTATATGCTGTTGAGTAAAATGCAGCTCCAATTCTCCACAATAACAGAAAAGAACTTTAGTTTTTGAAGCTCCCTACAAGTACAGGAAATGCTTCATTTCTTCTGTTTTGTGAATATTTGAATTAGCAGTTAGTTTGATAATTTTTAATGGTTTTGCTTCATTAAGATCCTAAGATACAGATTTGCTTTTGTGATAATACATTTTTAGTTTCTGCCTTAAGAAGCTAAAGTGCTTTTCAGTGTAAGAATCATATTTAAAATACCTTTGAAAAATTAAATATAAATTTCTGAAGTCCTTGTGCTGAGCAAACCCTGTCCTACACCATTTTATTCTTTGCATATGATATATTAAATGTTCTGTCTTTTCAGGATCTTTTCCATTGTAAACTGGATTTTGTTTACAGGGGATGGGGTTTTCTTGAGTTATCTAAGGTTTTCAACCTTTTGTGGGTGAAACAGTTTACAAGAATCTCCATTTAAACAGGTAGTTTCTTGGGGAAATGTTAGTAGGAACTTTCTTGTCTTTAAACATGAATTAACATATACAAAAAGCAAAATATAAATAGCTTATAAGTGTCTTCATGTGATGAGGTAGGTCAATGTGACAACAGGTGCATTCTCTGTTCCAGTAGTGTTGGATCACAGCCTGTGGTTATTCTGTTGTCCTTGTCCATAACAGGCATGTTGATCTACAGCCACCCGGTCTCTGAGGGTCTTCTTGGTGGTTGGTGAGGCTCAGGCTTTTCTTCAGGTGTCCCTGGGCTTGATCTCCAGGCAGACATCTCTGAATGCAGAACCAGGAATTTTTACAATGTATTGCTTTCAGGAGCGCTTGAGTTGTTGACTGCACTGTACAGATGTGTTAGCCCATTGTTCCTTGGTTTGTCACGTGATTGTTAAATTGCAGTCAGAATGTGTGACTGCAGCCTTGCCAGATGACAGCTTTCAGGGAGTGGTGACCAGATCAAGCCACTAGGTGCAGAAGTTCATCAGCCTTAGCAACAGAAACCTTGGCAAACAAGCAAAGTACCTGGGTATCCCTGCCCCATTACAGTTCCAAACAGTTAAGCAACAGAAACGTAGCAAAGTTTACATAACTTTTATTCACTACTTCATGTGGGATTCATCTCGTCAGGTGGATCTGGGGAGGTGTAGGGGAGATCTTTGTGTGAGTGACTGGTTTTATACAGGATACACTCAGTGACAGGGTTGGAAATCTTTCACTGTTTTTTTACGATTCTGCTGTTTGACACTTCAGTCAGTGTTGGGTGGCTGCCTTTACCAGGAAGGGTGGGTGAACTACTGCTTCCTGCTACTTCTCCAAACAGCCATGGGACCCTTCGTTCTGAGGGCATGATCGGAGTTGTCAGCACCACACCATAAGATGTGCGGACCCTGACTGAGTATGATCTGGTTTTCTCACTGAGAGGGAACGAAGGTTCCAGAGGCTTGGTACCTGTCTTGGGTAGTCTTTTCAGAGCTTTGAGAGGCGTGAGCAGTTTGAGTATGAAAATAGACTGGGGCTGTGAGAGGAGTCTAGATGATCATTGTTGCTGTGGTCACTTCCAGGCCATTTTTATCTGCTTGGAAGATTTTCCTTATTTTCATGGTTATGCTCAAAAGCTGTCTTAAATTTGCATTTATTTCCCAATGCAACTGATGTAAGCCTGGGTCTGGTATTCATTCTAATAAACGTTTCACTAAAGTCCTTCACTTTCCCTGTCCTTGCCATTATATAGTAATTATTTTTGAGTGCTTCTATTATTTTTGCAGCTGCTGTTGTCTCTTTTACCTTTCTATAGTACCAGCTTTTATTGGTTATGACGTACTTGGGAAAAATAAATAATAATCATAGTGTTCTAAAGATTTCTTTAGAAATAGAATTTAAAGCTTTCTGTGGATTGTTTTGTGTATGTCATTTGTGGGTTTCAGGTTTAGGTGATGGATGCCATTTCATCTAACCTTGCAGTTAGCCCTGGTTTGAGAAAGAGGGTTGGACCGGCTGACCTCCAGAGGTCTGACCTACATTGCTCTGTAATTTTGATTTCCCAGTGATGCAGACTGGGACTGACTGGCTCGGGAGCAGCACTGCTGAGCATGGCCTGGGGGGAAGGAGCTGAACATAAACCAGCAATGTGCCCTGGCAGCAAACAGTGCCAGCAGTCTCCCAGGCTGTATTAAAGCCTACCCAGGAGATTATCTGGGCCTCACTTTGGCTACCTCAAATACAAGGATGGTGATGATAAACTGGAAAAAGTTCGGCAGAGAGCCATCAAAATGTTCAGGGGGTTGAAGCATTTGTCTTGCGGGGGGAAGTGAGGGAACTGGGCTTTTTTGGCCTGGAGAAGAGATAGCTCCAAGGAAAACGTAATAGCAACCTTTCAGTACTTACGAGGAATTTATCAAAAAGATGAAGCCAGGTGGTGTGGTGGGAGAATGAGATGCAATAGGCATAAACTGAAAGTAGAAGTTTAGGCTGGATATAAGGAATCACTTCCGTTCCAACCTGTATTATTCTGGTTCCGTGACTCCATGATTTGAATGAAAAATCAACTTCTTATTTGTGTTCACTAAACAATATTGCATTAGCCTGGAAGTGAAATAGGTGTTTTTGTGTGCTTTTCTTCCAGACTCTTATTCCCTTAACTTCATGTCTCTCATCCACTTTCTGTCAGGGTTTTTTCCTCAGTGCAGAATAGCTGCAGGCTTCTTCAGGCTTACTTTTCTTCCTCCGCTATTCCCAAACCATACAGGCAGTCTGAAATGCAAATGTCTTTTTGTTCTCTACCTACCAACATGACTGCCTATTAAATTATTCTACTAATCCCACCAAAGATCTCCTCAGAATTCTTTCAAAGCCCTGCTGTGTTCCGGCAAAACAACCAGATTTTACTTCTGTTGAGGTCTTTGTCCAGTCAGGGTGGAAGAAGCTAAACATAGTTGCAAGCAAAAAGCAGTCCCGACAGTCTTAGATCCTGCTCTTAATTACACACTTTACATTCTCTTTGACTTCCTCTGAAGTTTTTCTTCT